GGTAGGAATCTGTAACATCTCCTGTGCAACCTTTGAGGAAGGTGAGGCTTAGACTGCTGCATACATTTGTTTTTATTGTGAGTAGTAAATTTACTATGGTTTTTGACACCATTACTTTACCGCATTTTGTAAAGACAGGGAACTGTGGGGAAACTGGATAACTCATTTGAAAAAAAAAAATTAAAAAATAAGTTGCTGCAGTAATGTCGACATCTCGACTTCAACGTTTAGAAGCAATAGACTAGGTTGAAATGCGATTTTGTCGCTGTGATAGTCTCAGCTTCTTATCTTATGGGGGATTCTTATTTATCGAAAAGCCAGACTTCTGTGGCGTTTATGATTCATTAAGGGTATTTTACAGGTAAGCCGAGATTCATTGTTAGATTTATATCGCCGCTTGGAAAGCTGCATTTGCGATCTGCGCAACGATCGTATTTCTCGTGTCAAGGGACAGCATATCGGTTACACTGATGGCCAGCACGCGCTGCTTATCCGGTTGAGCGATGTGATGCAGCAGTTTCATCATATGTGCGCAATTTATGCTGAAAATATTTCGCCCCATTCAAAGTTTCGTTATCGGTCAGTTCTTCGCTGATTTTTTGCTACACAGAGTTTTTTACCGGGAATTTATCTGGCTGTGCAGTGAGTCACAAAACTGTCCAAATAAAGTGAGCCAGATGTTCTTTAAGTTGGTTATTTCACAACAGAGAGCATAAACTATGTTGGATTGATGTGGAAAATGAAGAAACACAGTTTCTTATAGCACTGCATGATTTTACACACAGATGCATGCTACCCAATGCATTTGGGAAGCGGGGGGGAGGGAGGGGAGGGGAGGAGGGAGGTGAGGCAGAGGGACGGGGGAAGAGAAGGAAGGAGTTCTTTTGTGGTGACTGAAATTTTATCAGGGGGTATCGCCGTTTTTGATGCTGAAAAGGTCGTGGATATAGATTTGGGTGCGCGAAAAGGTTATTTTAGATAGTTGTCAGTTGCATATTCTACGACATTTCGATCTTAGCTGGTCAAGCTAAACATTTCATGCTTCTTATCTTTACGGAACACCTAGTAAGTTGTGGTTTTAAATTGGGATTTACTTTCAGTGAACTGT